ATCAACCACATCGCACGTGTCATGGTTTGAAGCGAAGTGATCCCAGAAGCCTTCAACGTCATTAGGAGCAGCTGAGGCATAGTATAGAGTGGGCTGGAATTGTACTGCAGCTTTGGAAGCGTTAGAGAAGGCAGCACGTTCAGGGAAAGATACTGCAGAAGTAATTTCAGGACTTTTGCCTTTATCATTATTACCAGCAAAAGCGTGTTGAGAAGCGTTAAGAGAGGAGGTATCAGGTTGAGAAGTTTTCTTGGTGGAAGTTGTCTCAACAGGGCCAGGAGGTGTGAGAGGTTTATCAACATCTATGACAGAGTCTTCAGCACTGACTCTGGTACGTTTATTAGTTGAGGTGGTCGAAGGTGGAGTGTTCAAAGGGCCAGATGAAGAGGAATCTTGACCAAAAATGTTGCCAGTTGGAGAGCTAAAAGCAGGACGTTTAGTAGTAGTATCATTGTTAGACTTGTTGTTTTTCTTTTTGTTATCTTTAGTCATCTTGTAAAGCGTTATAGTTATTTAAAATAAAGAAAACATAAAGAAAAAGTAATAAAAAACCAAAAAAAAATTTTATTTTTTTCGTAAATATTGTCAAGTGAGCAGAACGGAAGAAAGTTAGTTTCCCAGTTTTATCCTTTTACTTTGCTAGAGTTTTACGGCCAAGTCACCCTCTACTTCTTATGAAGCATCATCGGACTAGTATCCTATCATCTTCCTGGGCAACCATTATACCGAGTACTTAATTTCTCAGGTAACAGCACCACTATTGAAGACATCCCCCATCGGGCCACATTTAAGGCTGATCTGAAGCTAGGAATACACCACCTACTCGTCCTTAAACCCATTGCATGATACTGGTACTCAATTTATTTTACGACCTTTAGAGAGCACCTACTTTCATGGAGGACTTTTGACAGGTAGCATCAACCATCTAGTACCCTTCCATATCACCATTTTAGGAGTTTTATCCTTTTACTTTGCTAGTGTTTACGGCCAGACCACTTATTGCCTCTTATGAGACTAATCTCGGATCTGTGTCCTATCATCTTCATGGGTAACCATAATATCGAGTACTTAATTTCTCAGGAACAGTACCACTTAGAAGACATCCCCTATCGGGCCATTTTAGGCTGATCTGAAGCTAGGTACACGCCACCTTCTCATCCTTATTCCATTGCATGATACTGGTACTCAATTTATTTTAACGACCTTTAGAGAGCACCTACTTTCATGGAGGACTTTCGATAGGTAACATCAACCATCTAGTAATCTTCCATACCACTATTTTAGGTACTAAGTCTCACTCAAAGGCCACTACAGCCCGCGATTACCTAGCACTGATAGAGTTTTATTCTTTTACTTTGCTAGTGTTTACGGCCAGACCACCCATTGCCTCTTATGAGACTAATCTCGGGTCTGTATCCTATCATCTTCATGGGCAACCATTATACC